CCCGTCAGTGCTCGTGAACTCTGCCCATTGGTGCACGTGAATTAAGCCCACAGCTGAGCGCGATTTCGGCCCATTAATGAGCATGATTTCAGCCCATCTCGTCTTTCATTTGAAATCATGCTCATTAGGAAAAAGTATACTATGACTCCTTCAACTATTGCCCGAGTATGATTCATGTCCTCCAACCACAAAACCGGGTATATCGACTCCAACTATCAAAACCGGTGCAAACAATGCCCCTGGTGGTTTTGGAGGTGGTTTTGGATGACGTGGTGGTCTTGACTGAGTCTTTGTGGCATTAGAATAAAAACAAAAAACGAAAAGAAATATGTGGAGCCCATATGTCATTCACACAAATAAAGTATTGTAGGACCCACATGTCATCCTCCATCTCCTTCCCTTTATCCTCCTCCCTCCATCTCTCTCCCTTATCTCTCTCTCCCCCGGCCTTTCTCTTCACCTTGGCCGGAGCGGAGGTGGGGAGCGGCGGCCATCCTGCCGTCGTCGCCGCCGCAGGCGCTCCCCGTTGTCATCCGGCGCCGTGTTGCTGTCAGGCCGAGAAGAAAAAGAGGAGAGAGAGAGAGAGGAGGATGGGGGAGAGAGGTAGAGGAAGAAGATGACAGGTGGACCTCTACTTTATTTTTTTAATCTATTTGATGACTAGGATGCCACGTCAGTGAAACCGTTCCCCAAAACCGCCAAAGGAGTAAAATTATCCTGATTTTAATAGTTGGAGAGTCAAAATATCCGGTATTATGGTTTAGGGATACGAATAAGATTCGGGCACTAGTTAAAAGAGTCAAAGTGGACTTATTCCATGTATATTCGGCCGATGAGTACACAAATTTCGGCCTAAATTCTACTCCCCCAGACGTCAATAGCCAATCTGAACACATTTGTCCCTTGCAGAGATGCAATATACACTGTACTATAATTTGCACATTTTGAAAGATTGTACAGCTTTGACGAATTCTAGTGTCGAAACACTTAGTATTAATGTACCGTGGACAGAAAGTTGGATTTTTACATATAACTAGGAAGGTAGCCCGCGCATTCGCGCAGGCATGTATCATACATAGGATAAATTTGAGAAACTTATAAGGGCGATATACGAGCGAAATAATATTTTCAACGTTTCAAAATTGTGCTTTTTTCATGAATTTTCTTTGTTAGTATTGCATGACGAATTTATTTTTTATATATATAATTACCTACTGGAGGGTTGGTAACTTATGGTACCTCAAACATATGACTCTTAAAGTTCTATAGGGAAAGAGAGAAAACTTAAGGTATAAAACATAACATATACAACGATATATAATTAATGGCTCTACCGTTTTATGTAGAAAAAATGATAATTAATTTATTATTTGATTGCAGACATCAATTGATCATAGCTACGGATAATTCCTCATAGTAAATTATGAATATGTTTCCAATAAAGGGATAAAAATTAGAGAAAATAGTTGAAATTATGACGAAAAAATAAAATAGTTGATTTAGATTTTGTGTGATGAACACATTGGTGGTTTGCTGTTGATATTTTGGAGATTTATAGACAATTGGTTTTGTGAAGAGATTAAGTTCGGTTGACCCTTGGCGGTTAGACCATTGGGTTGGCTAGTCTGACCGCCGCAATACCTGCAGTCTGACCGGCGGCACCCAGCCGGTCTGACCACCAAGGGTCAACCGAACACCCTTGATTTTTACTTGATTTGGTAGACCAATATTTCTAACCATTGGATATTCATATGATCTAACATATTATGCACAGTCCAACTAACCAAATTATTCGTCTTCCCTACCACGGACGGTGAACATGTTAATTTGTGCCTCAGGTGGCATGCTCACATCATCATACCATGAAGAAAAAAAGTGCCCTACATCTACATGTATATGTATAATACATGTAACTATCTCATGCCTCTCTTTTTATCTGAGAAAAAGAAATCTATACCCAGCATGCATGCACAACGGGATACACCGGCTAGCCCTCCAATTTGTTCACTCAATGCACAATATGTTCTTTTGTTCTAGTGATTAGATAATTTAATAAGTACAAATAAGCCCTCTTTTTATATGAGAAAAAGAAATCTATACCCAACATGCATGCACAGTGGGATACACCGGCTAGCCCTCCAATTTGTTCACTCCATGGACAGTATGTTCCTTTTTTCTAGTGTTAGATAATTTAATAAGTACAAATAAGTAATATCCGTAAGGACAGCTGTTGATGCAAAAAAAAACACACACACACTGGCCTGAGAGATTTGCTTTACTCTAATGCAGGTCCTAATCCAAATCTGCTTCGTCTTTGACTCCAAATCCAATCTATAATTTACCAAATTTGGTCGTTAACAACAGCTCTACAGAACCCCTCTCTCCTTCTTTTCGTGGTGTATTAGTTTGATTTGAGCAACGTGAGATATCATTCCCAATGATAATTCTGTGATATAGGTATTTTGGATGGATATAATTAAGTTGGTTGAGAGTCAATAGGTCCATTGATACTATAATGAAGGTTACCGGTTTATAGGTATGGTCCATTGATCTTATTAAAAAAAATAAGGTGGATATTTTGATTTTTTTTTTTAATGAGAACTTTTAGGATTTTTTCTATAGATGTGGGTCCAAAATATAATAATTTTATTAGCTATTAAATATAGTTGGTATAGATCTTAAACTATTGATTTTATTAAAAAAATACAATGATTCAAACCCATCATAAATTGGAATATAATTTAAAATTTACAACAATTGAAGATTCTTTATATATTTATAGAACATACCAAGATCAATATGTATGAGGGATATTATCTATGTCTATATTTGTAAGTGCATGCAGTCTTTGGAGTACGATGAAATTAAGTTACTAATATATAAGATATTAGATACCCTTAAGCCTTAACTTAATTACCTTAGAGAAAAAAAATTACCTTAGAGAAAAAAGGGAGGCGAGCAAGGAAAAAGCACGCAGACTCTTCTCATGTGTGTGGATGGAAGCACGTACGTGTGTTGGGCAGACTCGTACCGCCAGATTGATCTTAAGTTTTTTTCTAAACATAAATCTCACGGTATATGGTGGTAAAAAATATTAGATCCACCAGATTAAATAAAACCAATGGCTAGATGTTCTCATTTTTATATAGATTTTCTAGGAATTAATTAGAGCGTCCTGTGTCATCTTAGTGTGTCGTCTTAGTAGTGTTTCTAGGAATCTCACGTGGCAATTTAGGAGTGCTTTTGGGATGTTTAATGAGATTTTAGTATATAATAGATAGATATATCTATGTAGGTGTGTGAAATTTACTCTATAATATATATTGTCATTTTTAATGTTTTGTTCTTATTTGGATGTCATGCGAAGATGGTATATGTTCAAAGTTAGGAAAATGTTTTTCTTATATATAGATTTGATGGGCACAACGGTTTAAACCATCTATACACTTAAATTTGATGGATTTTAATGTTTGTTCATAATTGGTTTTCATGCAAAGCACAATGGTCTATGGTAAAATTTAGGGAAGTGTTTTTCTTACATATGGGTTAACCGGTTCAAATAATCGTTAAAATATCTTTTCAGGGACAATGGTTAAAATAATTGATTCACCGATTTAAGTGAAAAGCTAAGGTTAGATGTTTTATTTTTCATAATATTTTTTCACATTAAAATTTTCAGCTAGAACATATGAAGATGGAGGATTGGAGGAGGGCAGAAAGCGTGGCATTGTACGTACATAACGTAAGTAGTGAAGAGATGAAAGGGTGGGCCGTTGGGAGAAGGGGTGAGTTGTGGGATATATTTTTTATAATGATAAATATAATAGTTGAAAATAGTGGATTTAGCGATTTATTAAACAAACAGTAGGTCCACCGGTTTATTAGAATGCCACGTTGCAGTTTAGGAGCGTTTGTATAATGACGCATGGTAATTTAGTAGTGTTTATAGGAAATTTAGTATAAAATAGAAGATTTTGCTTTCTAACTAACAAAGCAGAAAAATATGAGAAGGAAGAGTTAATCTAGGAAGAGGGGGTGTAATATGAATCAAATATGATAAGTATGTAAGTACCTATGAGATTAGGACAGAGGGATTAGTTACTTTAATAAATCTATAATGATTAAAAATAATAGGTTCAACGATTTAAGGGTAAATTGTTGGTGTGATTTTTTTGAATTTTTTTTATCTCAAATTACGGTAGAGATTAGCAGTGAAGGATTAGTTAGTTTAATAAATCTAACCTAATCGTCGAAAATAATAGATTCAACGTTTTAAGTGTAAATCAATGATATGATATTTGGCATTTCACTTGAAACTATTTGGATTTTATTGATCTTACATTATTTGTTTAATTATAAATTAAATCATGACAATTTAGCTCATAATGTTTACCTTGAATTGCTAGCTAAAAGTAGAAAGTAGAGAGGAGAGACACTTGATATATATGTGTGTGTTACGGGTAGCATATCACAACAACAATAATAATAATATATGAGATATATTATTTTTTTCATATATTATAGTTAGTTGTACGTGACATATACCTACGTACGTACATATGTTTGTACATGCTGGGTGGGGCCAACATTGGGTAGTTAATTTTTTTCTTAAAGATAAATCTAATGGTTGTGAGTAATGGGTCCACCAAATTTAATGAAAATCAGCAGATATTTAGTAGAGTGCCATGTGACGGTTTAAGAGTGTTTCTAGGATGCCACATAGTGACTTAGAAGCGTTTGTAGGAAGTTTAATAGACTTTTAGTATATAATAGATAGATTTCAAAAGACAATATTCATTCAAAATACGTCTCCACTACAGTTATTTCAAAAATAAAAAAATCGGTGCACTATCACATAATTGCACACAAATAAATTCGAAAAATACACAACTTGGCCACTTCAAATATTTCAAAAATCTCACAATTTGATCTCAGAAACAGAATGGTTTTGTTTAAAGTTCAGTTAGGAACCGAGCAAAATTTTGCACCATGCTTTCAGATAAATTGTCAAATCTTTCACCACATTTATTTATTGGTAATCTTTATTAATCAGATAATGGAGAGAACAATACAGCTACATTTCACCAGAACAGTTGATGCATGGCCCCCCAACTTGCTTTCTTATTTACCATCAAACATGCATCCTAAATACCAAAATTATCAAGTGTCACATGCTTGAGAATCGCACTAGCATGTAATCTTGGAAGGCTTCTGCAGTTAATACAGCAGATGTCCTACCTTCAAATGGGAACAGCTTAAATTTGTATAAGCCATAAGATCAAGTATACCTCCAAGCTTTTGATAAATTGTTTGCATATTTCAAGAATAATTTTGATGATGGTATCAAATCCATGTATCACAAAGTATCTGAAGGTGGGGGGCTTCCTGTATTTATCTGCCTAGTAACTGCCCTCCTCTGTCGTCGGCCTCCTCAAGAAATAGCGCAAGCTATTAGCAAGAACCTGAAGAAACAAGATATATCAGATAGAAATTATACCAAATTACATACTGCTAAGTGCTAACCTTGTAAGAAATTTCATCGATATTTAGATTTTTTTTTCTTGGGAAGAATAAAGGCTATGCTCCATCAATATACATGGTTTCACGAGAATTAGATAGCACAGCGAAAATACAGCGGTATGATAAGCTTTACCTGCTGCAAGGCTTTGATCAATGGTTTACCCCTATAACTGACATGGAATTTTGCTTTAGCCAGTAGGCCCTATAAGAGATGCAATGTTTAGCACTCTGGGGAGAAACAGGTTCCCTTTTATGAAAGGCGGCCTCAAATGATTAGTGTTACCTCAGTGTCAAATTCTCCAGATTGGACGGTGATGTTGATGTCATCAATGATCTTAACAAGGTCAACCAACAAACCTGGTCGGTCAGCTGTTTCCACTACAAGTAAGCTGAAATGGAACAAATATATGAAACAAATGAATGAAATTTTACTGGCATCACAAATACAGTAATCCAGCATCCCATTGACCATCTTAATTAAGTAGATCTAAGAAAAAAAAAACATCATTGGCATTTAGGCACTGTATTTTGTTACTCAAAAATCTTCAAAGAAAAAATTGGCATAGTTCCCCAGTAATAAACACATTAATCGACAGCTAAATCCTGCCCCCTGGGTCAGCTACCCTTTTTATGACATAAGCCTTAACCAGAGAGGAGCAGTCTATCTTCCAATCTAATAGCATGTTGTTCTGATGGTAAAAAAAAATGTGAATTTTCCTAACAATTTGAGGAATAAAGCATAAGGCAAGACACAAGTCATACCTTCTGTCAGGGCCATCATCATATATGTCTATGTGGGTTGCTATGTCCACATCAACCTGACAATTCACATGCAGAAAATATTTATGTATAGGAAAGGATTACAAGCCTAAAGTTCGCCAATAAGAATACATACGCACGAATAAGATGGTTTCGTAATGCATATGCACAATAAGATGGTTTCAGGACCTCCATAGATATATTAAGTGATTTTTTGGTCCTTCTAGATCATAAAAGATGTGTAATTTGTTATATATGAATGAGTTTAAGCTAGTACCAGTTCTGTAGGGGGCTCTGGACCAAAAGTTGCACCCAGAGCCAATTGGCTGCTAGCTTCCTGATGTCAAACAAATTTCCAGCAGGTTGCATTTAGTAAACATTTTCATAATGATGCAGGTTGATAAGAAATAAATAAGGAACTTACTGGGTGGTACTGAATCATGTTGTTTATAATTGTCAGCCGTACTGCTTCTAACAACTCTGGTTCACCAATTTTGCGACCAGTCGACCTGTACAGTATTCCTGTCACTCTAGGCAAGAACTGATATGTGCAGAAAAGTACAATGAAGAAAGATGTCACATTCTGTTGTAAGTAGAAGATCAAACTTTTATGGTATATATTCCTCATGTCAAGATTTACGTATCTGAAATATTTAGAAAAGAACATTCACTTACAATTTTGTTATAGCTAACTTAATATGCTTGCCAGTAGAATCGAGGCAGACGCTAGCTTTCACAACATTTAGCCCTAAATTCTTCAGGGCATTCATCTTCACGACAGAAAAATAAATAATCAGCACAATGAAAATGATAATTAGATTTATTGCTATTGAATTGTGAAATTATTTGTGAGGCCAGCGCAAATGCATACGGTATCAAGAAGATCACCGAGACGGTCACCCAAAGTTATCTCTACAATGGTCGCATCCGGATCTGAGTCTTGATCTATTATAACTTTCGGGGTAGGAACTGTGTCAGTGTTGCTAGAGCTCCCATCCTGCTAACCAAAGTATATGCAGTTGAACATGGAAGTTCATCCAATGTTTTTCTGTAAGCTATGCTATCTACCTCGACAGCCGCAGAGGAAGCAGCTCTAGGAACCCTGACAGCAGGAGAGGACAGCCTACACAAAGACAGACAAATTGTTAACACTACACAATTAAAGATAGATATATATCAGAGAAGCTATAAATATAACATTATTAATTTATTGTTACGCAGGATAAATAATAAATGCAATCTGCAGCAACAAAATCCAAAAAAAATAATCATAGCAGTTTTAACTTGTCTTCTTGCACAAGAAGAAAACAAATCAGCTTGCCGAAAAGCAAGTATAGAGCATCCATTTGGGCTTGTCCGCTGGTGACAGCATGTGTCCCGTACTCAAGACACAATTAGGAAACTAATCCTAGTACTTATCATGTTTAAAAGGCCTACAATCACTCCAATCTGATTTCATGGTTAAAACAAGAATTTCTCCTAAAGCTTCACAAGAGCTCACAGATCTAGGAAGACTAAGAGCGAAACATTTTCCCAACTAAGATATATCTACCAAATCTAGTGCAACCCATCCCCACAATAATTCCTCTGGTTTTATTACCCATGTTTTCAGCTAAGCTTGTTGCAACAAAAACATATCACTGGCTTCAAAAAGAAAAGGAACACAAGCACATGATATTTATATTTCAACTAGGGAGCGCTGAATCAGCCGATATCATTTTTCACACCATCTCACGGGAGAAACTGTGAAATATTCTGAGTAGACATTCCATTATGGATACGCCATAGAACTTATTATCCCGTTCAGTTAATCTATCTAATAATATAAATGCATATGTGGGTTCACAAATTAGAACCAGAAATCATCAATATCATACCAGGCACCAGCAACAAGAACTTCGGTAATAAAAAAAAAAAATCTCACCCTCTCTGATCCTTTCTGAGCATACTAATAACTTGTATATCATGCCACTCAAACAGAATATACGAATCTAAGAATCAGAGGATTAATATCTTCGATAATGTCAATTACTAGCACTTTAAAGTACATACTTCCAGCTGATAAAAACGAAATTTTTGTAAGCTGCACGGGATACTAAAACGCGCTCATGTCTAAACCCAATCACGGCATACACTACCATTTCATAGAAAAAAAAACGTGACAATAATAATAACATAATGAAACAGAAAAAGGTGTTATCAGAGTGGGAAAAAAAAGACAAGAATTATTTGGACAAAAAAAAAGAAGAAATCTTGGATCTTGGCCAATCTCCTCACCTCAGCCCAGCGTGCGGCGGCGGCGGCGCGAGAGCCCGCCACGCGGCGGGGCGGCGGCGGCGGTGGCTGGTCCCGGACACCGCCGGCGAGACGCCGGAGCAGGGCCGGAGGGCGGCGGTGACTGCCATTTCGGCCATGGCAAGAAACGGAGCCGAGGAAGGGAGGGGGGGGGGATCCCAATCCCAAGAAGAAGAAAAGGAAGCAGCTTTTGGTTGGGTCTCAGCTGCACGGAGGAGGTGGAGATGGAGGTGGTGCTACAAAGGCGAAGGCGAAGGCGAGGACGGGATCATGACGACGATATCTATGGCTGTCGCGGCGGCTCTATCCATAGGATAGCGAGATGCGAATGGGAGGTGGGCAGCTTGTGCTTCACCCTCAGCTCTCCCCTTTTCTCCTCTCCTCTCATATATACCTCCACTCCACTCTCTCTCTCTCTCTCTCTCTACTCTTCTCTCTGGTGAGGAGAGATCAGATCAGAGATTTATTTGACCCTTCTTCTGGTGGAGAGGAGGAGGATTAGCTTGTCTGAAAATTGACAGGATTCTGGTGTAGGAACAAGGGACAGATGCAGGTAAGATTGGTTGGTGAGCTGGCTGGCCACCTGGGGGGGCTTTCTTGGTGATGATAATGTCAGTGGTAAACAGGTTTGAAGCTGGTCACTGGTCACTGGTACTCCTGCAGGCTGCATGGATAAAAAGATTGGAATGCTCTGGATTTGAATTTATGATTTGAAATTGTATTCAGAAATTTGTTGAGTTAGGGTGTGTTTAGTTGGGGAAAAGGAAATTTTTAAGTGTCACGTCGAACGTTTGATCGGATGTCGGAAGGGGTTTTCGGACACGAATGAAAAACTAATTTCAGAACTCGCCTGGAAACCGCGAGACGAATTTTTGAGACTAATTAAGCCGTCATTAGCACATGTGGGTTACTGTAGCACTTATGGCTAATCACGGACTAATTAGGCTTAAAAAATTCGTCTCGCGATTTCCTCCATAACTATGCAATTAATTTTTCTTTTTATCTATATTTAATGCTTCATGCATGTATCTAAAGATTCGGTGTGATGTTTTTGGAAAAAAAAATTGGAGGAACTAAACGGGCCCTTAGTAGCTGCAGGACAGTGGAGGAACTATGGCTACGGATTGTTGAGTACTTCTTTTATACACTGCATGAGATAAAAAAATATTCCCTCCGTATTTGAATGTATGACGCTGTTAATTTTTTGAGATACATTTAACCATTCGTCTTATTTAAAAAAGTTATGTAATTATTATTTATTTTATTGTAACTTGATTATAATCAAATGTTCCTTAAGCACGATTTAAATATTTTTATATTTACACAAAAATTTTGAATAAGACGAATGGTCAAACGTTAATAAAAAAGAGAACGGTGTCCTATATTAAAAAACGAAGGTAGGCATGTTTGTCTAGGAAGTCGTAGGCCCGCAACTAGTTTTGAAACTTAATTTTAGAATTGATTTAGGGGTTGTTTTTTAAGCTTTGCCTTTTATACTAGAGTGGATATATAAAATCTTATGCTAAAATTATATTCCATTGCTTTGGTCGTATGTCTTCAATTTGTAAGTTACAGCCAACAAAACACCTTCTATGCACGACTAATGACCGTACAAAAATATATGGAATTCTCGAAGATGTATTGTCAATATTCCCAGCATTGTAAGGTTTTGTCTATTCAACTTTTCTTGTGATCATATAGAAAGCTACTTATGGCGTTTATAGTGTCACATGGCTACAGTCTTCTCGTAATATATTAGTTTTATAATTCTTTATGACAGGTACATGTCAGTTTCCAAATTAAACGTACAATTTGGAGTATTATTTTGAGAAGGATTGCTCAATAACCAATAGTGTTTTGTCCATAGCTTGCCTATGTAGTTTCTGATTTTTTTTTAGTCATGTGGGTAAGTTTTGGTTTAGTTAAGCCTTACATGAAGAATCCATAGCGTGTAGATAGAGTCATATGTACATGATTCTGATTCTGTGTGTAGAGCTCAATTTAATTCTTAGTGCCCACAAATATTTCGTACTACATTCCTTTTAAAAAATAAATATTTCGTACATGCTGATGCGGTTTTTAAGAGGAATTTAGTGATATATGTCAGCCGATAACTACTACTGTGCAATTGTTCATTGTTAATTATTTATCCGATATTAACAAAGAAATAATATAAATGGAATATATGGATATTCGGATGGTAGCGTGGCCATATGTGTATCATTGACTCAAAATGGCTCCCTTAAAATGAAGCAAAACGATTTTTCGGATTGTGCGTGTAACTGACAAATGCAATGATCAACTTTTCAGGAGAACTTTTGAATTTGCCCCCAACTAAAACAAAATTAGAACTAATTAAGTGCATCCACCTTCCTAGCACGCAGGCCAAAGAAGAAAAGAGAACGATTATAAAGGTCTTGAAACAATTGACAAGCTTTTTAAACTGATTTTCATACTCACCTGGTTCATCAAATGTTCATAATATGCTACTCATATCTCACTTATATGAGGGTATTATTGGCTCAGATAAGATCCCCATGAGTGGCATTGGCTGAAAATCATTTTCAGATTTATCCACCATGTACACTGATTTTGACACGAGAATATTCTTGCAGAAAACAGCCATAATGATTGGACTTCTTTTCTGCTATTTAGTTGAAGTTGTTGAAAGATATGCATAATCTTTTTAGAATATGTTAGGGCCCTACCATCTGGTCTTAATGGATAAGATTTTTTTTTTCGTCATTTACCAATGCAAATTTCATAAATTACTTATTATATATGAACGCAAACTAAAAAAAAAAATAGGTCTGTAATTTACACCCGGTTTCATGTTTTATCCAATCAAATAGGGGTGTATTGCTAACATGAATTTGAAAAGGTACAGACTTTCTAATCTAATTTCTGAGGCTTAGAGTACAAGTATTCTTGTAATATTTGGGTGGTGTGTATGTCTACCTAGATCAGATTTTTATCCATTAATTATCTAAAAAAATTCACACACATCACAAATTAATCAGGGAAATGTTAATATGAAGTTTTTATTCCAGTTTTAGCCGATTACTTTGGGGTAGGTTGATTGATAATACAGGTACTGACCAAGACTACTCAAGGTTCATCGGTCACTCTTTTTTTTCTTCCTTGCTCGCTTTTTGCATTTTGGTGGCTTTGGTTGAACCAACGTTTAAGAAAGAAATTGATGTAGATTCGTTGATGGACGGCCGAGATCCAGACTTATTTAATATCCCCGACCTGTATTTCGTATACTGATTAAGACACAAGAAAAATGGATGGTCAGAAATGTGTAATGCAGTTAGCTGTCAATTTAGCTAATAATCAAATGATGCGTGTGATGTGTTAGTACAAATGGCTCTGTTCATGTCCGAAAAGCCATCGTGTGATTAACCGTGTCTCCAGCTATGTTGACAACTGACAAGATACGCATGCTAGTTTATGTTAATAATAAAATAATAGCACAAACTAAAATTTGCAAGAAAAATAAGACATGAATACCTTCTACCATTAAAAGTAGATTGTAGAATCATTCATCCTAGCAACGATCAGAACAATACTTCATTTCGAGAAAAAAAAATGATAAGAACAATACTATGAAAGAAATGCACTTTTTCTTTCTTCTTGCCGATGTCCACAAATCTGTTTGCTGGCCCAGGCCAGGGCCCAATATCTTATATCACGGAGGGATAGGTTCACTTTAAGTCCCTCATTTTGATGCAAGTTTGGATTACATTCTCAAACCACAATAGCAGAGATAATGTGTCATCCAACTTATAAAACCGTAACCAGGGTCCTAGGGAATCAGAGATATAGTGATCGGTTTTGGCTGATGTGGCGAGTGGGATAAACGTGGGCCATATATCAGAGCAATTTCTTCTTCTTCTAACCTCTCATCTCAAACTCCTGAGCCCAATGTGCCCAACCCTAATGACTATCTCAAACTCCTCAATTTCTCGCCAACGCTAACTCGTGAGCGGACACACCTCTTTCTTATTATTAGATCGGGCTGGCAGATCAAGTGAAGCTCATTTGTTTATAGCTTATTATTAGTTTAATGACAATTGAATAACGACATGAATATTAGACAATGGTTTTACACTATAGATATCTTTTTTTTCTTTCGAACACATTATAGATTTTCATATAAACACGCATATACTCATTCTAAGAAACACACACGCTCTCCGTACCACTAGGAATGCCTCTGAAGGGACGTCATATTTTTAAGTTGACGAAGTCACCAAGGACTAGTGACAGAGCTATAACTTGCTTAATAGTAGGGCTCAACCAATATAATCTTTCTTCTAAAAACTTTCAATTCAAATAAATTATAGAACTTTTAATTATCTAAATATCACAATCACTCTTTTTTTCAACATCAATTGTTGGCGCCTTCCCGTCTACCACCATAGAAGTTTCTTGCTGCGGAGAGGCTAGCACAAGCATCATACGACACATTGTGACGGGCTGACGGCAAAGTCTTCGTAGCTGGAGTAGCGTCTGAAAGCCGACTCTGCCGCCAGCCGGTGCTAGGGTTTGAGGACCTTAGGCGTCATCACATGGCTAGAGTAAAGGAAATAGGAAGGGATCGAGGGTGGCTGGAGATGATAGAGATGGGCACGTTTACTTCCTCGGCCAAATAGGAATGGTGTGAGATGGGAAGTCGAGAGAAGATAAAGTGGTGGACAGCCTTATATGCCGACAATGATTTTTTTTATTTTGGTGTTGCTATAATTATGTCGACACATTTTCTGGGTAATCACAGTCGATTTTCTGTTCAAATTGATATCCCTTAAGATTCGTGCTATGATTAAAATACCAGTGTAATATTGAATGTCTTTGTGTGTTGCAGCGTGAAGCCAAACAATTAAATTTAAATTTCTCATCTCGTCAGCATGTGTTTTCATAAAAAAAATTACATATATAATTTAAGGACTTACAAATATAATTTAGGACTTATATTGTAAGTACACAAAAATTACATATGTAATTTAGAGACTTATACATATATATAATTTTAGAACTTACATTATAAATACACTAAAATTACATATGTAATTTAGAGACTTACAATGTAAATACATGCTAACTATTTTTTGGTGAAAAATATAGCACCATAAATATAGTTACTCCCTTTTATTTTTAAGGCAGACGTCAAGGATTTAAACACACATATCCAAGCCGTTAGTGGTGACCACAAGTGGTAACAAATATCTGGTAAAAGCCGATCTTTTTTTGTTTCAATTTTCATCGACCAAAATGTTAAGAAAAGAAACAGACGAAACCAGAAGGAACTAGTCTAGAAGCAGCAGCCTAGCAGGTGATAAAAAAGGGCGGGCAAGCTGCATGTGGGCCCCACCCGTCAGGAGATTTCATGGTGCAGGTTCCCCGCCTTATCCTCCCCGGATCCCCCCTCACACTTCACACGCCCCACTCAGCTCAGCTGCATGCTGCTGAGTGGCTGGGTGGGGTAGTGAAAAAAATCATCGCGCGCGCGACGAAGCAGCAGCGACGTCTCGGTGAGTGACGGTGAGCTCGATCCATCCATTCAAGAACGTACGTAGGTGCGGCGGCGGAGGCGGCGGAGCTGATGAATTCCGGCGGCCGGAGCCTCCTCTCGTCCCCGCTCTTCGCCAGCTCTTCCCCGGCCTTCCGCGGCGGCGCCGCCGCCGCCTCCTGCTCCTCGTCTTCCTCCCCGTCCTCCTCCTCCCGCGCCACTGGTATCTATACTATACTAAATCTCTCTTCTTCTTGATTTGTGATGATATGATGTGAATGATCGGCTTAGCTCTGAAACGAGTTTTCGTTCTCGACAGTGGTGCCCATGGTGCACGACACCGGCGGCGGGCGAGCGTCGTCGACGGCGTGCCACTACTCGCCGTCGCTGGTGGCGGCGGAGCCGGAGGAGCACGTCCACGGCCGCTCCAAGGACGACGACGACGACGCCGCCGTGTCGCTCATGGGCGAGAAGGCCTTGCTGGAGCTGCTCCTCGACATGGTTCGTCCCAAATCATACAGCTGCTTCCAATCTTGCTGACGAGCCATCTAGTTACTTTGCATGCATTTCGATCAATGGCTCCCCCTGTTGTTAATCGGTGCTTAATTAGTTTCGTGTTTGATTGTTTTTTTTTCTTCTTTCAAATTAAGGCTTTGGAACAACACGCACCAGGGAAGAAGCTACCAGCTGAAGAGAGGGAAGAGAGTGAGTTCGACATCTATCTGAGAGATGATAAAAGCCATGTCCTTTACCATCCAGAATTCAGGTACAGGTTCCTATTTCCTCTAGCTTCCGTGTAATTTTGAAGTTCTTGAACTTCGATGTATCTGTTTTGTTTTTTCATAAATGTTCAGGTGCAAATTCCTTTTCTCTGCTTATTCTGATATCAACTGATGAGTCATTCTTGGCAGCTCTACATCTGTGAGTTCTTCACCATTGTCCGTAAAATCTAGCGAAAGATCGGATCTTGGTACAGCTTCAGCGGTTCTGACGAAGGACGTGGCATTATTAGCAGAAGAAACAGACATTTTAGCAACCCAACTGAAAGCATCGCAACTTTACAGGTTTGCCTCCTTCATTATAGGAACTCTATTTGCAACATTGACAGTTTATGTTGGCTTGCAGAATTACCATGTTCTTTGTTCTAATGCGTGGCCCGTGTGTTTTATGATCAGTGTGGATTCGAGCAAGTCAAATGAAGAACTGCAGAGCAAGGGTCAGGTGTTCGTTAGATCGACGAGGTTACTCGAGAGGAGATCCAAGCGGCGTTATGCTCCTCGAGCATCGATCGCTGATGTTTCCTGCAGCGCTGACAATTCGAAGAAGAAAGAGAAATCAAAGAAGTATGGCAGAGTTCTTGAACCAGATGAGCCTTTCAAGCTGTTCCTAAGAGATCGGGAGACGACGGAATTCCTGACAGCAAAAGAGGAGAGACATTTGTTCAGTAAAATACAGGCAAAGCCTTACTTTTACCCTGTCATCTTTATTTTCAGAACTGCTCAGGTGAACATTAATTAATTCAGCATCTCTGATTCAAAGATGTGATGATCCCATCAGATTCTTATGAAAATAGAGGAGGCTCACCGGAAACTAGAAGTTCAATGCGGCCGTGAGCCGACATTGGCAGAGTGGGCTGAGGCTGTAGGGATGAGCAGCAAGGAGCTGCAGTCCTCTATTCGCACCGGAAGACGGTGCCGGGAGAAGATGGCTCGATCGAACTTCAGGCTTGTGATTCATGTAGCTAGGAAGTATGAAGGATATGGTCTTGACATCCAGGACCTTGTTCAGGTTTCATCCATTCTCTTGGACCTACATGTTTCTAAAACCTATGCCATGATGTTTTTTCATGCTGAAAATGTCTCTTTAACTTGTAGGATGGATGCAGTGGGTTGATGAAGACCTTTGAGAAGTTCAATCCCAGCAAGGGGTGTCGATTCCCGACCTACGCATATTGGTGGATACGCCAATCAATTAAGAAGTCAATCTTCAAGAACTCAAGACTAATCCGGTTACCGGTAAGCACGGAAACTTACCATGACATCTCCATCCCAACATTCAGAACTGTTTTTTTTTTTTTCTGAATGTGCTTTCTGATGTACACTTTGCTTGCAGGAGAGTGTGTATGCGCTTCTGAGAAAGGTGGGCAAGGCAAGGATGGAATGCATCATGGAAGGGGAGCAACCCACCAACGCGAACGTAGCGAGGCGCGCCGGCATCACCATCGAGAAGCTTGCGAAGCTCCGAGCGAAAACCCGGAAACCCCGGTCGATGCAGGATCATGTCTGGTCAGATGAGGGTGTCACCTTCCAGGTACTAACTACCATTTTACTTCGTGCCATTGCCATCTTAATTCTGCCAAAGAACTGCATTTGCAATGCAACAACTGAGGCCTGGTTTAGTTCCCAAAATTTTTTTCCCAAAAACATCACATGGAATCTTTGGACATATGCATGGAGCATTAAATATAAATAAAAACAAAAACTAATTGCACAGTTTGTATAGAAATCACGAGACGAATCTTTTGAGCCTAATTAGTCTATGATAGGGTAGATAAGTGCTACAGTAATCCACATGTGCTAATGACGGCTTAATTAGGCTCAAAAGATTCGTCTCGCGGTTTCCAGGTGAGTTACGAAATTAGTTTTTTCATTCGTATCCAAAAACCCCTTCAGACATCCGGTCAAACATCCGATGTGACACCCAAAAATTTTCTTTTCGTGAACTAAACACACCCTAAACCATCTGAAAAACTGTGAGCTGAAATGGAACTGCAGGAGATCACAGAAGACCCAAATGTGGAGCCACCTGACCTGAGTGTGGACAGGATGATGATGAGGCAGCAGGTGAGGGACTTCCTGGGGATCCTGAGCCCCAGGGAGAAGGAGATCATCGAGCACCGGTTCGGGATCCACGATGGCGAGCCGAAGACGCTACATGTCATCGGGGACATGTTTGGGCTGTCCAAGGAGAGGATCAGGCAGCTGCAGAACCGGGCGCTGGAGAAGCTCAAGAGGAGTGCATCCTTGCAGGGGTTTGATGTCTACTTTGATTTGCTAACCTGAAGAAGAAAGGCCAAGCAGCTCATTTGGTTTCAGAAACTTTCAGTCAAGTTGTCCATACAAAACAGCAGAAACACATACACACTGTAGCTTTCTAGACCTATTATACATATATACTACACACCCAGTGACACGTACTGTACAAGTATAGTGCTAGATCTGCAGAAAGAAATGTGGTACACGGATTCAGAGTTTCAGATGGCATCCTTTTTTGCTTATGTAAGTAAATTTCCCAGCAAGCTGCTGTTGGTGCTTATACTGATACTGCAAGTCTGCAATGCAAAGCAACCCTCATTGTAATTAAGGATAATCATGTACATTTTTTTACCCTTAATTTGAGCTGATCAGGCGCTGTAATTATAACGGAACAGGTCCTGGATACATACTTGTAGCATTAATACCTTTCACTTGGCACTATGACAAATTGCGCCCAATGAAGCTTGCCACAGGTGAAAATTACAGCATTTCATCACAAAAATTCGAATGCCAGAGGTCAACAGCCACAACTAGCTCCACATTTGAAAGAAGGGAATAACAATTCTGTAAGTAAGGTATTGATGCCTATTTCGTAGGCCATAATAGCTACATTGATCTGTTCTCCCTAACAGTAGAAGTGCGATACATGTAACAGTCAGAGGCAGGCAGTTAGCAACAGCGGAGGAGATGCTCCTGCACATAATACTACACAGAGAACGCCTAGAAGTCATGCTACCATGGCAACAACAGGTTTACCAAGGAGGAAGCTTGGTGGTTACTAAACACATGAGACCTCGATGAAAGGTTGGCATCGTGACGTGCCTTGGATAGCTGAAGCCTGTGAAGGTCGACACAAACATAATTTACACCTCCTGAGCTGCAACCGCCTCACGCTCAGCATCCAATCCACTCAACCTCCTGTTATTGTAAGAATCCGGAAATTATTGGAGTTTTGGTCTGTACATCAAAGAAAGTAAATACCAAGATTACCTTGGTTTATCAGACTTCGTAAAGTGCTTGGACATGAGGGATGCCTGCATATTCATTTCCCAAGTGTAGGTTAGTCAAGGCAGCTACCATTTATGCATGTCAACTATAAACTGGAACTGTGATAAACTGATTACCATGTTCAGCATCATTGCCGTTCAGAAAATGCAAGGAAAGATTAATAGACAACATACCTGCTCCTGGATAATGCTTCTAGCTTCAACTAGTTGAGCTTCAAGTTCAAGTTCCCGCTCGGTAGCTTCTGATGTCACTTCTGCACCCTTTTGGGCATCTTGAAGTTGTGTCATTCGGGCCTGCATAGTAATTTGTTTTTTCAAAGTTGAAAGGAGCACAGTGAATCAATGATGAAAGTTTGCATGCTGGAGCATCAACCATGAGGGGTCAGGTGAGTTGTCTTATTCAGTCATTCTACCTTTATGGAAGCCATTTTAGTGCGCAAACTCTCTTCAATCTGGTCTCTAGCCATGTGAAAGGGCAAATCAAAGACATCCTGGCAGGAGGGAACCGCAAAGAAATCAAATGGTGATCATGTGACCAACTGAGGGGAAGTCATGCGACACCAAAATTTTTTATTATTATTTGATAAATGAAGAAAAATCATCAAGACTTTTAGAAGAAGACAGATACCAAGAGCAAACTATGTAATGAAGAATGAGAATGCATACCGTCTTGCCACCAAGTGGAGACTGAGGAGATCCTGCCTCCTGTCGTCCATTGCCCACAACAGCTGGCTGTGGAACTCCATTTGGAGCATTGAGGAACTCGCGCATATCCATCTAAGATAAAACATTATTACTCAAAAATGTACGCTTTTCAATACTCCTTATGTGCTGCTTGCCACAAATATCACTACATTTTCTTCACCTATCAAATAATGGCATTTCAAAGGATGTGCAAAAGAGAATTGTTGTAGTAAAATAAAATTGTCTTTCCCCATTGTCCACTGAGATCTAAGGAATGGCTAGCGTATATTTGTCTAGCATGAAAGGAATAATATGATGTGGAAGTGGCATCCTTTTATGGTTTTACCTGCATCGAACGCAATAGTGCTCGCAAATCAGCATTTTCTTGCATCAACTCTTGCTTCTTTACCTCATAGGCATCAACCTGAATGTTCACTCAAGGTAAATTACAATATATTCAATCAGGTACACGGTATGCATCAGAGAGATGTATAACATAACGCGTAGTCACTTACAATCATTTTGTAATAATCATTGTCATTCTTTTTTCCACTCCAAGTTCCACGCTGCCGTCCTTCTTTCTGTTTAATTAAACTGAAGGGTCAATGAGAAGGCCTCCATAGAAGAGTTACTTCAGAGTTAAGACTATTAATATGGAGCTCATTCAAAAGTATAGCACCTGCAACAAGTTCATTATTTCCATTCCTGAACGTGATGATTCCTTCTTTTTCTCCATTAATACCTGGTTTAACTTCTCCTGCAAAAGAGCTGAAGGTCAATCTATGAAAATAACTCGTATTTAATCACCACGTAGATTTGTAAAGACAACAATTATACCTGCAATTTGATGTATTCTTTCTCTTTTTTCTTCATTTCATGAATTTGCTGGGTACGTACTTGCTTAAAAAGAAAATTAGAAAGCAAGATATTGGTCCCATCAGTATACACATTAATAACTTCTCCGAAAACAAAGTAAGCAAGCAAGATGAACAGATTGATCTAAAAAAATAAGACTATGGCATGGCAATTCTACCTGATTGCCAATAACCATTTTTTGGAACTCATCGCGTTCCTGTTGCAGCTTGTCAATCTGAGCCTTCAAAGTTGCAGTGTTTTTGGCCTCCTGGTGGTCAGAAGAAATAAATAGAAGTTCAAGATTGGCAAAGAATACAAACAAGAATTGATAGAAGAACGAACCGTTCTAGTCAATGTGGCCAGCTCGCGATCTTTTGCAGCTAATTGAGCATCCATTCTTTCAATCTTGGCTTCTAATCTAGAAATATCAGACTGCATACTGAACATTGTAAACTATGAGTCATGTATCCATTAGACATATATCTCAGTGATTAAGTAAGCAACACTTGGTAGAACCTTAAAAATTATTAAATGCTACAATCCATTGCATTAATGATGTCACCCAACTAGATGGAGATCATACTTATGGAATCAGAGTGTAACGGATTGATGTTCATGTAGACAACAAACTGGGGAAAAAAAATTAGTTACGGCCTTAAAAATGTAGCTATCAACTTCATTAGTTTTTCCACCAACTGAACATGTAAATACATTGGAATGAACAAACCGATTGGGGACGTATGTTCACGTGAGCCTAACACTAACACAGATGGCAAGCAAATAATGCCTTATAAGGTATATCATATCAACACTGTGAAGGAATAGATCCGAACAAATTGTACTACATAGATGCAACTAATGATGACAAAAGGACAAAACATTTAGTTGTTAGGTGCACCTAATTACATGACAATATCTTAATGCATAATTCACATTGTCGGCAGGTTATATTAGACAAACTAGTAATTGCAATTACAATCCACACAGGTTGAGGCTGGAGAAGAAGAAATTACAGAGCCAAAAGGAACCATTATTGGAAGGAGAAAGAACCAAAAGGCTACATATTAGGTGCTGACAGGATTGGTTCATGCCAGAGAGTGGCACTGTCAGGGGAAAGAATTTTAGGGTGGGACGTTGCCAAGGACAGTCTTTTATTATTGTCAGACGTAGTTTCAATTTGAAGGCAAAAAACAAAATACTCAGTAGGCAAAACTTATCAGGCAAGCAATCAAGATTCAAAGACAGTACAAAGCTATAAAAGCTGAACAGTAGGTACTAAACTTGTGCTAACTTAAATCAAACTATTAGATGTGATAAAGCCTAATCTCACATACATTATTCTAAGAGTAGTAGATACAGGCAATTTTTTGGGGTTTAGTACAAGGAAACAAGTTACTAGAGCCAATGCTAACATGCACAAAACGAACAGGCACATGGGGAAAGCACTACAAAATCTCATAGAAAAAGGAAAAGAGATACTTTAGTTTTGCAGTACCTTGTACTCCACCAAAAATAACAGATGCGCACAAACAGTTTACCTCGATTAGGCATTTTTCAGGTTTAATAACACTGACTTAAAACTTTGGTGCTAATTAACCCAAAAAAGAACAACAACATCATCTTTCACCCCCATTAGCAATTACCAATCTATCTTTATCAGTCGGCATCATGCACTTTAATGCATTGGTAAACCGTGCAAACCTCCAGATCTGGTGTGCAGTTCTTAACTAATACTAACTGAGCACATTCGAGTAACTCCATTAAACATGGACGCAGTAAATGGTAAAGGGGGGAAACATCTCACCGCTGACGCAGATCATTGGTAGACTCCCGGAACTCAATATCACGCTGCCGCTGCTGAAGAAGAGCATAGATGCAGTTGCACGTTCTCGCAATCGATACCTAATGTGCAGAAATGAAAAAGGTTTGGGTAAACAAGCACATGGCTGATTTTACATTAAGACTGGCTCACTTAACACCCAAAAAACATGTTATATTTCCGAATAGAAACATTATCAAACAAAAATTTACAGGAAAATCGGAGAGAGCCCGCGGAGATTTCTAAACGAGAAGCAGAAAATGTTTGGGAATCGTAAAATTCGATACAGAAAACGGGTCTTGTGGAGTAAAAACTAGTCGGGCTCGAAATATCAGAAACAACCAACACATTGTCCATTACAACGAAGAGAAATGAGGCCACTCAAACCGCCGAGAAAAACGAAGCCATAAACCCCCCACAAATCTCACGGCACTAGGGAAATCAGAACCAAAATCCGCAAAGTAGATCAGGAGGGGGGAGAGAGAGGAGGAAGAAAAGGAACCCTACGGGGTCGGTGGCGAAGAGATCGAGCGAGGCCGGGAAGCCGAAGGTGACGAGCGTCTGGTTGAGGTACCTGGCGCAGTGCTCGAGGTTCCCCGCGTCCGCGAACGCCGCCGCCGCGCCACCGCCACCGTCACTGCGACACAAACATCACACACCACCAAACCAACCAACCAAATCAGCCACCGCCACCCCAACCCCAACCTCAAAAACCCCAAGGTGCAAAAGCACAAAACCGAAACCCCGGAGGAGACGAGATCGCCCGCGCCTCACCTCATGCCTCCGCCTCCGCCTCCGCCTCCGATGGCGTGCTGGTGCGGGTGCGACGAGGCCTGCATTGCCAAGGGGGAGGAAGTCACAGGCCGATCGTTAGCGGGTGCAGCGCGCGGATCTGCGAGGAGGCTAGGGTTAGGGTTTACCCGGAGATCGAAGCGCGAGGAGGCGGACATGGGAGGCGGAGGTGGGGTGGAGAGATCTGGAGGAGGAGGATTGGATTTGATTTGAAAAATTGAAATGGTTTCGAGGGGAGGAGGAGGAAGAAGGGGGAGAGGACGAGGAGGCCGGCAACGGTATGGTGGGGCCGGGATGTCAGTGGGACGGATGGGGGTGCGAGATCTGGAGGGACGTGTGTGGGTGTGTGTGGGCGGTGGGGTTGTGGGGCCCGCACGGCATTGACTTGGATGGACCACGGACTCACGGAGGCTATTCCTTGGCTGGGCTGGGCCGGGCCAGGCCCATTATACAGTGAGCATTTTTAGGGCCTTATAACCCAAGTTTTGTCCATGGAAAAAGTACACTTCGGTCCCTCAACTTGTCATCGAATTACAAAATGCTAGAATGACTTACATTGTGAAACGGAGGATGTACTAATAAGTCACTTCGTTTTGAGTGCATGATAGATTAATTCCAACTCTATGAGCCGAAAGCCCGAAACATAGTCTAAGTTTTTCATACTATATTGTATATATAGAGAGAGATAAGACAATGCTAAAGTACTTCCAAGTCATCACGGCGTTGTATAATTTTTCATGGTTTTTTTTTTCAGGACAGTACAGTTTTTCATGGTTAACGATGTCAAGTTTTTTTTAAGAGGAGGTTAACAATGTCAGTCAAGTTACACAACTACAATGGACAAAAGGAAAGAGTACACCTAAGGTCCCTCAACTTGTCATCGAATTACAAAATCGTCCTCCAATCGTAAAACCAGATATATGACGTCCCTCAACTTACAAAACCATTCAATTTAGGTCCTTTAGTGGTTTTGACACGGTTTTATCCGACGTGGCGGCTGAGTCAGCGAGGGACCCACGTGGGTCCCACATGTCAATATGCCACATCATCACCATATCTCTTCCCCCTCCTCTCCCTTCCTCCTCTCTCTCTCCCTGTCACTTTGCTCCGACGATGGACGATGCTGCGTCGGGCGATGAGGCGGCGATGGCTGCGAGGTGGGTGAGGAGATCCGGCGCACGACGGCGGGCGACGAGGCGGCGGTGGCGGCTACGAGGCGGGAAAGGGCATCTGGCGCCCGGCAACGCGGCAGCGAGCGACGAGGCGGCGGCGGGCACACCCTCGCCTTCCTCGAGCTCTGCCACCCAGCGCTCGCCCACGACGCACGTGCACGACCGTTGCATGCCCGTGCCGTTCCCGCCTCGCTACCGCCTTCCCAGGCCCATCTTCGGCCGTCGCAGAGCTCCGTCGGGCCGCCACGGCCCCACCCTCCTCCGATCCTCTCCCGCCTTGCCCTATCGGCCGGCCTATAGTCAGGGGCAGAGAAGAGTGAGAAAGAGGAGGAACCGAGGAGGGGAAAGAGAGATGGTGATGATGTGGCATATTGACATGTGGGACCCACGTTGGTCCCACTTAGCCACCACGTCGGACAAAATCAGGGTCAAAACCACCTAATGACATAAATTGAACGGTTTTATAAGTTGAGAGATGTCATATACCTGGTATTACGTTTGGGGACGATTTTGTAATTCGATGACAAGTTGAGAGACCTTCGGTGTACTTTTTCCATGGACAAAACATGGGTAATAAGGCCCTTAAAATGCTCACTGTATAATGGGCCTGGCCCGGCCCAGCCCAGCCAAGGAATAGCCTCCGTGAGTCCGTGGTTCATCAAAGTATTATTTTTTAAAAAAATAAATTAATATAATTTTTAAATTTTCTATAGAAGATATTTTGGAAAAAAAATGCATTGTTTAGCAGTTTGGGAAGTGTGTCTGTGGAAAATGAGGGAGTACTTAGTAGAGGTCAAAAAACTAGAAAACGAACACATCCTAAGCAGTTGGCCTCTTGGATTATACACATACAATATGTATGTCATACGTTTTTACAAAGTGACAAACACTATCCATAAGAAAATGGATGTTGTGAGAGGAAGATTTTATTGGTAAGGATTAAGGAATAAGGAAAAAAACATATGATGAGTTGGAGAGCTTAAAAAGATGTGTGTGGAACACAGGATCATCATGTTTCATTGCTACTTAGCTAGATTTGTCCAGTGTACAATTAGAGAGGTTTTAGCCTATGCCTAGGTGTCGGTGATATGGGACCGGGAGTATCATGACCAGAGGCTTGAGGCAGACGCAATCGCCCACGTGGCCTGGCACCTTCGGGGACGTCGGGCCCGAGGGACGACGTCCCGAGGGTGAGGTGTCCGCCCTCCTCCTGATTTCCCCCGAGGGGGGGTCGGGTTGCGTTTGCTCCGGCCCCGAGGGCCGAGGCACCCCGACCCCTTGAAGAAGTCTGCGCCACGTATATGGGATAAGTGAGCACAGCTGTGCTCACCTAACGGCATTTATTGCAGTCTGGTCAAGCGTGTCACGCTGCATGCAACGCAGTACAGCACGCTCTTTTATCCGGTCTGTGACCGGTCACAGACCGGTCAGATCAAGGGTCAGGTGGCGACTGGCGGTCTGACGCACGCCTTGCCCCATCCCGTCAAGACGAAAGCCTCTAGGCACTCGTCTCAAGCCGGAGCTAGCGTGTTATTTCTTAGAGATGGCACGTTAGCCCTGGTTAAATGAATACCAGGCTTCATCCTAACCATTACAGGCAAGGCGTTACACGAAGAAGGGCAAACATGCACGTTGTTAAACCGACGCGTGGTGGACAAGAATGACCGGTCTGACACTGGTCGCATCAGCAACGGGCAGCCACGATCCCACGTTGCACCTGTCTCCGTCGGGAGTGGAGGCAGGTATGGGCTGTCCCATCAAAGTGTCATTTGGACGGCAACCATACCGATCTCCGTCCATAAAGAGAAGAAAAGTCCAGTTTGGAAAGGGAAGGGTGCATGTGGTATCCCCTTGAAGTATAAAAGGAGGACCTTGCCCATTTAGAAAGGGGTTGGTTGATTTTTTCCCGGATTGAAAGCGGAGAACGGGGGAGAAGTCAGCGGACACTTTGTAGCTCGTTCATACACAGATCCACCAAAACACAGGAGTAGGGTATTACGCTTCGCGGCGGCCCGAACCTGTATACATCGTCGTGTCTCGTGTGTCTTGCCGACGAGTAATCTGACCACATACAGAGAGAGCTTGAGACCTCACCCTAAGCCCCCGGCCGAACCGGCAAAGGGGGGCCTGCGCGGTCTCCCGGTGAGGAGCCACGAGCTCCGTCATCTGGCGCGCCAGGTAGGGGGCTCAGCGTGTGTTTTCTGAGCTCTCAGACTCTTCCGTGGGCGCCAAGTTTTTCTTGTTCAGCCTAATGGCCGAGCAAGGAGAAGCGCACGACCTCTCTCCGAGTGTGAGCGGCGACGACGGGGAGCCGAATCCACGCCGTCGAGCTCGTACTCCCCCACCTCCTCCGCGCCAAAGCCCTAAGCAGGGGGAGGCGCTTGAGAAGGTCGACAAGTCCATGGCATCACCAGTTGCGGGTGGTGCAGGAGGACGGCAAGATGGGGAGCGCCGCCTCCTCGTCTACGGCGACGGCAGCACGCCTCAGGGTGCGCTTCAGGCTGCTGGCGCGCTCTTACGACACCCGCCTGTCGTCCATGACCCGGAGTCTCCAGCCCAACGATGGTTGGAAGATGTGGCCAACTTGGTCATGACGGCTCAGCAGCGCCTGGGTGCTGGTGGACGGTCCGCCACCACCAAGACCTCCGGCGCCGCCACCACCGGTTCCGTGTCATCAAGGCGGAGGGCGCGGCGAGCGGCGGCGGCTGCACGTCATTCGGCTGCCACTCCCTCGTCTACACCGTCGACTCGGGAGGATCGGCATGGGGAGCCGGATGCCCGCCTCAACATCGGGCGCCGGCGTAATAGCCGGCGTACTCCCCGTGCAACGGAGGGCGCCTCCTCGTCCAGAGTGTCACCTCGACACGGACGTGAAGATCAGCCCTCCGTGCCTCCGGCTGGTGGTGTTGGCTGTAGAGCCTTTGTGGCGAGTCTTCGGAATGTCCGTTGGCCCCCAAGGTTCCGGCCCACCATCACCGAGAAGTACGATGGGAGTGTCAACCCCACCGAGTTTCTCCAGGTCTATACGACCGGGATCGAGGCCGCTGGGGGTGACGACAGGGTCATGGCGAACTTCTTTCCCATGGCCCTAAAAGGACAGGCGCGGGGTTGGCTAATGAACCTGCCACCCGCGTCGGTCCACTCCTGGGAAGATTTGTGCCAACAGTTCACCATGAACTTCCAAGGCACATATCCGCGCCCAGGCGAAGAAGCGGACTTGCATGCAGTACAGCGAGGCGATGATGAGTCGCTTCGCTCGTACATTCAGCGGTTTTGCCAAGTCCGCAATACTATACCATGCATCCCTGCACACGCGGTGATCTACGCGTTCAGGGGGGGCGTGCGGCACAACCGCATGCTCGAAAAGATCGCTTCCAAAGAGCCCCAGACTACCGCGGAGCTTTTTCAGCTCGCGGACCGAGTGGCTCGTAAAGAGGAAGCGTGGACATGGAACTCCTCCGGTTCCGGAGTGGCAGCTTCGGCCGCCCCTGGATCCGCCGCTCAGACAGGGCGGCGTGACAGGAGGAGGAAGAAGAGGTCGGACCGTTCCGGCGACGAGGGTCATGTCCTCGCCGTCGAGGGCGCTCCGCGGGCCACCCGAAAGGGGAGGCCTGCGAGCGACAAAAAGAAAGAGGCTGGTACTCCCAGCAGGGAGCGCCCCGCCGGCAGGTGGTGCTCCGTCCACAACACCTCCCTCCACGATCTCGCGGACTGTCGTGCAGTCAAAAACCTGGCTGAGCGAACGAGGAAGTGGGAGGAGGATAGGAGGCAGGAACGCCGTGAGGGCAAGTCCCCGGCGGTTCTTTCCGGCAAACGGCGAAGTGAGGCCAAGCAGAAGGCCCCCGCTGTTGACATCGATGATGGTGAAGATGACCTAGGTTTCCAAGAACCTGGGGCCACCATTGCCACCGTCGATGGGGGAGCGTGCGCTCACGTCTCTCGCCGGAGCTTCAAGGCTATGAAGCGAGAGCTTCTGGCCATGGCCCCTACTCATGAGGCGACGCGTCGGGCGCGGTGGTCGGAGGTGGCCCTCACCTTTGATCAGACCGACCACCCACCGTGCGTTGCCCGGGGAGGGCAGATTGCGATGGTGGTTTCCCCCACTATCTGCAAT